GTTACAAATTCGGTCCAGAGGAGGGTCAAGCTATATTTTACTGAAATCTCTATTCATGGTGGCGTAGGAGGGAAAGAGCAGAGACAATTCCCCTCTAGAGATTGAATTCCCTTTGCCTTTTATCAGTTTCTCCCTCTCAACTCATGCTTTCACATGGTGCTGATACTAAAAGCATTGACAAGGGTCAGATTATGAATAGTCTAACTTAATCTCTTCAATATTGCTTTTAACCTGCCATCCCCAGTTCCCAGCGATTACCACAGCAGTTCTTAAATAACTATTGTTTTTGGCTAGAGTGAATAATACATCAACTATTTAATTTTCCCAATTAATATGATGTCTTCTGGTCTTCTAAAGAATGTTTACACCCACACAATTCTTTTTTAGAAAAAAAAGGAAGGTTCAAACTCCTTTTATCAAAAAAACCCTCATTAAAAATGAATTTCCAACATGAGATGTCAGAGCAAGGGCAAATATTCTACTATGACATTTCCTGTAATTCTGTGGATCATAGGCCTTTCTCATATACTAATGAAGCATTCCCTTGAAGAAAATAAATAGGAAATCGCAGATGTTGGATGGAAACTGATATAGGTTTTTTTACATGACTCATTTGAATAACACCTTGGGAAGAGTACTGCTTGTTTTTAGTATTGATTTCTTTCTTGGTGTTGTTTCTTAGGAGAACTGGTTAACCAACTCATTTTGAAATTCTTAACTCAGTAATTTCTCTTAAAGAGATCTTCTACTTCTGTCAGCGGCACACAGTTTGGGGGTGTTCCTCTATCTAAGGACAATAAAATGGGGATGGAATGGGATTGCAGGGAGAGGCAAGTGTGTTTGATGAAGTGCACCATAACTTCAAGTACATTTAATCTGCTAAATCTTTTAAATACATCTAAACTACATTTCTCCTTATTTTCTTTTATGCTCAAATATAGCGCGCGTTTTTACCTACCAGACACAGAAAGGTTCATGGTATCTATAACCTGTGGAAGTACCTGGAATACCTTCTCACAAATTAGAACAATAATTTCTGCTCTTAAACTACAATGTTTATTGCCATCCCAATTCATTTCATAATAAATAACAGAATATGTAAAGTGGATATTTAAAAAACATACATGTTGGTTTTATCTAATGAATGAAAAAATCAAAACTACATTTCCAATGGAAAAATGCTTTAATACATATCTTCTATGATTATATGGGCCTGTTTGAAAAACAAGACTTAATCAACCTGTTGAGAAGTCGGGAGTGTTGTTTCTCTAGAAAATCAAGCACACCACCCAGAAAACTGCTGCTCTCAGAGTTTTATACTCAAAAGTCTTTTCAATCCCTCTCAATGTGGAGTAGGGTGAGATTAAAAACTACTGATTTATTTGACAGAAATGTATACAATAGCATGATCATCATATTAAACACCTGCTCAGATGTGACTCTGTAGTAGGAGTTAATCACATCTGAAAACCTGAAATTTAAGAAGATATTAGGACCTCAGTTGTAAGCAGAATTAATTATAGCACATGATTTAGATTGTGGATTAGAAAATAATTGAAAATAGAGAGACTGCTTTGAGAAAGAAACAAAGTAAAAATTTTCACTTATACCTTACATAAAATTCAACGTTAAAAGGTCAATCAAAGATTTCTGACTTCTAAAAAGGAGTCAATGACGTGGGAAAATCAATGGTTAAAGGTGGCAAATACAGCAGGCTTGACTGTGTCAGGACTGAGACCACAGATTCTCAGAGTAGGGAGTGATGTTACTTGAGTGGAGGGGGATCAAAATCCACATTTCACATGTGCAGGTCAGATTCTGGTAGGTTCTGATAAACACCCACCCAAGTCCATCTCCACTTTGCTCCTACCTCAGTTGAGAAATAGGTTTAACCTTGCTTATCCCTCATGTGTTTAGGGGTGTGAGAAACAAGTTGAAAATGACTTTATTTAACCTTGACAAAAGTCAGTAGAAATATAAGTTTCCAAATACTTTCGTTAAGTATTTTTCAGGTGTGTAGTTTCTTTTGATTTTTTTTTTATCACAGTTAAAATATCTATGTGTGGCTGCATTTTTCTGCTATTTTATAATGTAATCAGTGTAGGACACTTATGCTTAACTAAAGAATTTACTATTCTCACATATTTTTAATAAAAAAATCTATAGATAAGCAAATGTAAATGTGAATTTATTAAACTTTCAAACAACTGGAAAGATACAAAAATCAAAAAATTTGGAGGGTAAGAAAAATATCAAATATAAATATATCCAAGTATTTTTTTTTAAATTATGTGTGTGTGTATATAAACATGGGGGTGTCTGTGCTACCAAATTCCAGGCTTCAACATTAATTTAAATTATTTGCTTTACAAAATGAAATAGCTCTGTTCTGACTCTGTGGTTCAAAATCTAGATTGAATGTCTTTCTTCCCCATGGAGTCAATTCTGACCCTCTTTTATCTGAATTTTACCTACAACCTTTTATTTTTCCTGGAACATATCAAATTGTTTCAGGATTAGACATTACGCAAGTGAAATGGATACATTTCTAAATTTGCTTATCCTGTTTAGTTTTGACAAATATAAACTTGCTCTCCTAGTCTAGGTAACAAGAGCTAGAGAAAAATAAATATTTTAAGACATTGAAAATATATATTAATGAAAATGGCGAACTACTTAAAGTATTTAAACTAATTATATGTGATATTTCAATAGGATAATTCATTAGGCCAATCCTCTAAATAATCCCAAAGTAACATGAATTCCTCCGCAGAATGAATGTCTATAGAGAGTAATCCATGGAAGACAGACAAGCCTCTTGTCATTTGTAGCCTTAATCCATTGCCTAGAGCATGAAAAGTGCTCAGGATAACAAGTGTGGGAATTAGTAAAATCAACATTATTTTGGGATTTTATTTTCTTAACAATACTGACTGATCAATAGGCTTGTGGAAACTGACAAATACAATATGGTCTGTTTGATGAATCAATCTAGTGAAGTAGAGACAGAATCCCTCCTCCCCTTCCCCCATTTTCCACCCTTTAAATTCTCTTCACCCTCTTCCTCCTCCTCCACCCACGCTCGCGCGCACACACACACACACACACACGCACACACACAGAGCTGCTCTTTCTCTATTGATCTGTAGACATTAGATAATGAAAGCTGTAGTGACAATGCTTAGATGATTTTTTATAAGAATACTAAGCCACTTTCAGTAAGTGTTTATGTTTTTAATTGCACGACTCACCCTCTCCATATTATTGAAATAAAGCTCTGTCTTCTGTATTTCAAATGTATGTTGTATGTGGGGTGGGGGAGGGTGTAGAGTAGAGAGAGTTGGGAAGTAAAGACAGGAAAGTTCTGAGCTATTAACTTTTTTGTGTGTGTGAGGAAGATTAGCCCTGAGCTAACATCTGTTGCCAATCCTCCTCTTTTTGCTGGGGAAGACTGGCCCTGTTCTAACATCGGTGCCCATCTTCCACTACTTTATATGGGGCACGCCACCACAGCATGACTTAATAAGCGATGTGTAGATCCGCCCCTGGGATCCGAACCTGCAAACCCTGGGCGGCGGAAGTGGAGTGTGCGAACTCAACCGCTATGCCACCGGGCTGGCCCTGAGCTATTAACTTTATACATCTCCTCCCTCAAAAATTCTATAAAGATATCAGTTTTGGGGAAAATTGAAAGAAAAATAGAAGAGGAAATATAAACACCTCAGACAACATGCCTAGGAAGGAACTAAAACTGTTTGTATGACTGCCTGAACACATGCATATGTGTCCACAGAAAATTTAGTAACCCTTCACCAGCTCATGAAGACACACAGATATTCTTTTTAAGTTGGTCCTTGACACTCAGCAGGGACTTTTGTGAACTTTGTCATCTTCCTCTGCCCTTTAAACCAAAACTAGGGAAGTGGCTTTAATTAATGAGATGTGATGCATTAAAAACGTTAGCCAGAGCATTCCAGAAGCTGGAAAGCCATAGATGTTTTTAAATTCTGAGTATCCTTTTGAGAATCCCTTGCTGTAATTTATAATTCTCAGTGGACCTATATTTGTCTTGAACTGATTGTTGAAATGGGCTTTACTAGGAATTTCTTCGCTGAAATTGCAGTGGGGCGGGGGAAGGGGATGGTTGATCCAAGGAGGTTTGTTGAGAGGAGGGAATGATCTCTAACAAGGCTTTAAAACCTTCAGTGGTTAAAGTTATACTGATGAAAAGGATATACATATATATGCGTAATCTATATATGTATATATGTAGATACATACATATACACACGTACACACATAATGCACAAGTTCAAGCAAAATTATATAATGAGCATGAGTTGTGAATTATGTAGGTAGCAGAATTCAGATTTTTTTAATCAAAATTGCACCTAAAAATGGCTATAAAACAACGCTTGCTTGGGAAGTAAATTTATAGCTACATGCCTTTCGCAGGCACGCTGGAGGGTTCTGCTCCCAGCTCTAATCTCTACGAGATGTTTTTTGCATGTGTTGTGTGACAGGAGGGAAGGGGAGTGGGTTGAGCTCGCCTGTTCTCCCATTGTCAGCCAGTCTAGTGAGTGTTGGGAAAACCTGTCTGTGGGATCTTGTGTCATCTCTCCCTACATGTGTACAGGAAAAGTCCGCGCTGCTCACGCTCGCTCTCTCTCTTTCTCTGTTTCCCTTTCATTCTGCTTCCCCGGAGCCGAATGAGGCAGGGAGCAGGATTAGAGTCCGCCGGCTATCAGAAGAGCCTAGATAAAAGGGACTGCTTCTTAAGCACCACTGCAGCAGCCCTTGTTAATTTTTTTTCTTTCCACACAACAGTTGTGCCTCATTATCCGGTGCCTGGCTCGATTTTTTTCTTTTTGTTTTTTTGGAGGGTTTGAAGTTTTTGTGCTTCAGTGACTGTTTCAGAAGAAGAGGTGTTAGTGTTGCCTTGAGGTCTCGATTGTCTGCATTTATGAATGAAACTGACCTAAATCACCTGTTACCTCCAGTTTCCAGATTGTTTGAACTTCTCTGGCCGCACAATACAGGAGGGAAGACTGAAGCAGCATAGGGATCTACAGCGTCTGCAGCATGGGCTGGCTCGCTAGGATTGTCTGTCTTTTCTGGGGAGTATTGCTTACAGCAAGAGCAAACTATCAAAATGGGAAGAACAATGTGCCAAGGCTGAAATTATCCTACAAAGGTAAATTTTTCTTTTTCTTTTATTTGGCTAGCTTTGTAATGCTCCCCTGCCTCCTGCCTTTTCATTCCTTGAACTCCCTCCCAACCTAAACCATAAAACCTTTAGTTTAACCTGGGAAACCTACATGAGTGTGTGTGTCTTTCTGAGATGATTTAAACACTTTTTTTGATAAAAGCATGCCTTCAGTTTGCTATATGACTATTTAAATGCAAACAAAGAACATTTAATCACATTTGCAGAGAAGAGCTGAATGCCTGCTAAATGCTGATCGGTATATGTGATCATATGTTCTGTTAATTTTTCTGACTCTACTTCTATTAAAATATTTTTAAAAACCACTATTGTATAAATGGTCTCTTTGTAGATGTGAATGACTCATCTATAATAATTGTTATGATACGTTGTATTTTCTTGGTTTTAGACGCTAAATGGTTAATTGTCATCATGAATATTCAGTTTGTTCAAATCTGACAATCAGATGCTTAACATAAGCAGTAGATCATGGTTTGCCAAGAGAATATAAACTGGAGAGAACAGACTAGTTTTTCCACAGTGTGTTATGATTGTACAAAAGACTGTGTATTTGGCTAATTGGTATAAAGCTAAAGCCTTTGAAATATAGTGTTATTTAATTCCATATGTACTTCAGTGAGAATTGAAGAGACATTACTTTCTAGTTGTACAGCTAGTTGTGTAAACTTTTCAAAAAAAGTATAAATTTAAGACAGAAAAAAAGCTTTATCACATGGCTGCTAGTACTTTATTTGGTTACAGTTTAGTATGTACGCTTGTTTTTTAATGAGGATTTTTTTAAAAATGTTCTATGTTTGTTTAGATAGGTTTTACAGATAGATGTATCAAACAATGCTAACATAGATTCCAAAATGATATATGTATAACTTTTAATGGAAGAGAATATTTATATAACTGAGGTATTATGAAAATGGAGTTGAAGATTAAACTGTTTTAACTCAAGTAGTTTTACTACCTAAGGTGTTGCTTTCTTATGATTCTCAGATTTCTAGAATTGGGGGTGGGGCAGTGAGAAGCTTCAGTTGTATTCTGTTTTTAGCCTGTAACGTGAAAGAAAATTATTGGATCTATCTGTAGAGATGTCTGTCTAATATACATTGCTCTTATGCCAGAAAACATATCCTTTAATTTTCACATGATGGGAAACATGTCTTTCTGGATTCTCTAGTGTGAATGAGGACCACAAATAGGAAAGAGAGGTGTAATTTTCACACTTTGGATTAGAAAATTAAACACCTATTAAATGTGTTTATTTGGATTTAATACCTGTTAGATAAAATACATTGAATTGGAAAATATATTTATTTTTTGGTACAATATTTTCTTGATTATTAAATTGGGAATGGATTTTAAACATTAGCAAACAGAAATGCAATTTTACTCATTACGCAAGATTTAAAAAAATAATCTTATAGCATCCATTAAATATTTAATTAAATCTCTATTATGTTTCTATTTAGTAACTGTCTTTAAATTATTTCCATAGTTTATGATATTATGGCATCTGTGTTTTCATCAGTTTTTGCTTTCTATCTTCACTCTTTGAGAGGATGCCATCAAATAATTCTTAGGTTGATGGTCCACTTTATCCAAGTTTATATTCCTTACTCAGAAGTTTTACATGCAACTTTAGTTCCTGAAGATGTGAATGTCTGTATGCTATAATTTTAGAAGAACAAGTTTGAAACATGAGATACATTTTAAAAATCTACTAGATTTGGAGATACTTGTCTAAGCACTAAATAGATTGTAAAATAAATAAGAATTGAGAATTATGCTTATTTATTTTACAAGAATTTTATTTCTATGGTGATAGATTACTCTCCATTTTAGAGGAGGCACCCTTCCTTTCTATATACTAAAAGATAGCATTTAATTAGAATAGCCCTTTGTTATGTACACATGCTTTAAACTTGTCTGATGAGGTAAGCCCGTATATGTTGACAAGATGTATATATTTGACACTGTCTTTATAAGTGCTTTTTAGCAATGGCATCTGTTAGAATTATGCTGCTTTCCTTTAAATCAAAAACTGCCCTAGAGCTACATAACAATTTATTGATATACCTAGAGCTTGGCAATTTGGTAAAATAAACTGTGAAATGAACAACAGCAAGGAGAATAAAAGGAATGGTCCATGCAATTTTTCTTCTGTCATTTTATTGGTCTGTCATTACCTTTTTGTCTCTACATGTACACTTGTTTTGCCAAAGCAAATGCCTGGTAGCCAATTGTCACTACTTTGTTTCTAAACTATAACAGAGATTTTTTTTTTTTTAGCTACTTCTTTTTTCCTCCTTAATTAGATGTCAAACACAGTTAAAACATCCACTGCTTTGCCCTTAAAAATATTCCAGCATGATTCATGAAGAGTTAAATCCCTGCCAACCCTAATTTCCCATGGTCACTTGTTTTCAAAGATCCACCATTAACTCTCTCATTGCTCAGGCTGCCAAGACAAAGTTTCAGGCAATCAGTGTGCTTACTTTCTGCTTGTCATCTTGCCTGCTAGGGAATGAAAGATATTTGATGTGTTAAATGAGAAAGAAGAAGAAGTAAGAACAGGAAGGCGGCCTTTGTAGTGGATGTACATACATATCTAATAAGGTACTCCTTTACTTTCTAGGAAAGAGGAATTGAATAGATGTTTTCAGGACCATCTGGAGAAGTGATAATATTAGAAAAATGGGGTATGCTGGTTTTCCTCTGAACCAATCTGATTTAGAATCCTTGTGGGGGAAGCAAATGTGAGAACTCTGTAAATCTCAGCAGTCACATACAAATTATCCTCAAGAAACATTCACTCAGAAATACTTTTGCCTTCCTTAAATATATGTTATATAGCTGAATGTTAAAATGCTTCTTTTTAAAATTGGTGGATAACTGTTTATTTCCCCTACAAACCTAGTCAAATTTCACTTTTCTCATGAAAGAGCAGAATATCGTATAATCTTTCTTTTAGAACGTGTGGTACAATGAAGACTTCAGAAAAACCTATAGAAATCACAAGGAAATAAATTAGGTTTGGGGTTTTAAACAAATGACAAATGTTCCATCACTCAATGTAATGAGCTTTTCCAGGACTGTGTATGCTTCAGTTTTAGTAGAAATCAAAGACACATGCAAGTCTGAATATGATGGAGATCATGGCATCCAGGGCCTAAATCAATGTCTTTAACTTTACCTTCATAGGGAGAACTTAGTAAATAGTGCTTAAATAAATGGTAGATGTTTTAGAGGCTTTCTTTTCATACTTTGTAAAGCTTTTTTTCCAGAGTCAAGTTGTTTCATTATTGTAAGATGAGATTATTAGTTAAATCAAAATTCTCATCTTTCTGATACTAGAATATAGTATTTAATTAAAAATTATGAAGTAAAATTTGCAAAACCTTTTTTTTTTTTTTTTTTGGTGAGGAAGATTGGCCCTGAGCTAACATCTGTGCCAGTCTTCTCTATTTTGTATGTGGGACACTGCCACAGCATGGCTTGATGAGCAGTATGTAGGTCTGTGCCTGGGATCCAAACCCGCAAACCACGGGCCTCCAAAGTGGAGTGTGCGAACTTAACCACTACGCCACCAGGCTGGCCCCTGCAAAAGCTTTCTTATTTGCCATTGCTCAATACATTATTATCACTGCAAAATTTAATTAATATAAATAAGGTTTACTAATTAAACTTGTTGACTTTTCAGAGATTTCCTTTACTTCTACCAAAGCACAAACATGCATTCACACATATGTACATATATGTGTGTGTGTGTATATATATGAATATACATGAATGACAAAACTTTAGGTTAATATTTTATAGTTGAGAAAAGTAACCTCGGCAATCAAGTTGTGAATTATAATAAAATGCTTTACAAATAAGTTGTTATTGGTTTAAGATGACCTTCATATTTTAAATTTTGTGTGTGTATATATATATTTCTATATATACACATATATATCAGAGTCGACATGATCTTTTGAGTCCCATGAAAAGTTTTCATGGATATCTCAAGTATTCACATAAAAGTATAGGATAGAATTTGTCTTATACTGAAAATCTCCTCTATGAAAGGTAGGGGGAATATATATATACATACATATATATATATATATTTTTTTTTTTTTAAACACAGAGCAAAGAAGTTGTAAATTCTTTGTAATTCCTTCTCTCCATTAGTCACTGCATATTTGGCATCAGGTCTTTGACTTGCTTATTCTTATTTAATGTGGCCTTTTCTTCTCAAATTCTATTAACTTTAAAACTCATATTTTGATTCTGATATCTTCACTTTAAGCACACTGAGAACTAGAACTTTTTATTCATTATATCCTGGCAAACTGATGAAAAATAAAATAAAACAAAATGCTCAGTCACATCTTGTGACCCAATGCTGGTCAGATCAAATGAGGGCTAGTGAAAGTCTCCAGTTTGTGGCTTCTCTGTTTAAAGCTGCCAACCAGATTGGCCTTTGAAATAATAATTTATGCAGTGTAGACTTTAGCAAGTAAAAAAATAACTGAGACCACAAAACCATCTCATATAAGCTTGTATCTAATCCACCAACTTTTGATAATGATATTGAGTCATTACTAGCTTAAGTAAGCCCGAATACTGAAGACATCATTTTTCCAATTTTAATTTTTTTATGTTGTCATTTCTCTTCATATAAATTATTTCCAAGACTCTACTACTGTCAGTGATTGAAATACTTGGATATTTAGGTAACTAAATAGATGTATAGATCTGATAACTAATTTTTCTTTTTTTTTTCTTATTTTTAATTATCATACATAAATCAAACAACATAATTAGCAAATATTTTGTGATTTTTGGTCAATTATATTTAAATTCTATACTCAAGAATTAATGCAATTGAAAGATCTTTCAGGAGTAAATTTAATTAGAATTAATTCATATGATTGCATGTATTCCAAGTGAAAAAACAGAAGTTAAACTGTTGGTTGCAGAGCATCATC